GACCTTATCAATGATCACGCACTAACAAACACTAAGAGTTATGAGCCCTTCTTCAACAAATTGAATAACGTTTAACTTTCTGAAACCAAGAGAAAGAGATCCTCACTGCTCGTATGAAGCTACGTTAAAAAAACTCACATACATAATGTTGACCTCACATACGAATCCTCGTCACTTGGCGCTTAAATCAGAGAAGTCAAACCTCTCCTATCCATTCGATGAATAGTTGAGAAAGCACGTAGTCTCGCTCTAACTGAACGAAATCAAAACATCATGGCTTAAATCTGAAATCTTTACACCATCACTCTACACGATCCAGATACACGAAACCCACTTCTGAAAAACGAGCAACTGTACCCCTTCTTCTCAAATAGATATTACAAACTCATTCAATGGCACTTCATACACAGTTCCCCATGTCGTAACTCAAACCATCGCTTCATGTTTATTAACTCAAAATACACAACACCCTATTTTTTAAACTTCACAATTTTTTAACAAAGATACTAACTTGCACGTCATCCTCAGTAATTACGACCCTGTCCGTCAGATTTATATAATTTGCCCCTTAACAAACACCTTCCCACTAGAAGAAGACTCTCCCATCATCATTACCCACAAATATATTCAACCCATCGAAGTAGCTCTATTGGAAGGCATACCCAAGTTCAAATTTAACCACACGATTTATGATCTAATACACAATTCCAATCACGAATTTTCAGCTATTACCGAACAAGTAAACATCAACAGTGCGCTTCAACTCCTTTGGCCACTGCTTCGCACTAAAAACATAATACGCCTGCTTTCTGAGCTTTCAGTAACATTCGACATCATTAAGATCAATGGCTACTCGATGTTGACCTCACATACGAATCCTCGTCACTTGGCGCTTAAATCAGAGAAGTCAAACCTCTCCTATCCATTCGATGAATAGTTGAGAAAGCACGTAGTCTCGCTCTAACTGAACGAAATCAAAACATCATGGCTTAAATCTGAAACCTTTACACCATCACTCTACACGATCCAGATACACGAAACCCACTTCTGAAAAACGAGCAACTGTACCCCTTCTCTCTATGAAGACAACTACTTCACAACACGAGCAACTCTTTCTTTCTCAGGCAGCCACTGTTTTAAAAGAATCTACTCCAAGAATCAAAAAATTTCTCCAAAATTTAGCTGTGAGATTGTGATAGAAAAAAAAATACAAAATTTGAAACCAAATGGAACTTAAGCTGCAAAATTTACAAAAAGAAAACCCAAGCTAAACTTTTTGATGATTATTTTGAAATTTTCAAATTCCCAGGAAAAAAATCAATTTTTTGAGCTTAGCGTTTCAAGAATTTTTGAGAATAACATTTTTACATAATTAACTAAAACTGGATCAATAAGTATTTTGTTTATTCCGCGCCATCTAGATAATAGTCTTTTTGCGCCATCTAGATGATAGCGGAAAAAAAATTGTCTTCCTTTAGCAAACAAGTTTGAATTCGAAAATTCAAACAGTGAAAAACTAAATTTGGATGACGAGGAGTTTTTTTATTAAAAAAATCCTCATAAATTAAACTATATTAATTACTAAACCGAGTTTGACGCAGAAATTTGAAGTCAGAAATTTCATATTACCCGCTTATAAGTAGATTGAATTGAAAATAAGAAACGCGCTAAAAATCTTCTTATTCTTCTTAATGAGTGAGCTCTGGAACATTGATCTCCGAGCAACACCCACACTCGATGAATTCCGATCCGATTGATCTTGACACCCGAAATGGTTGGGAAAATTGGCCCTCGCAACCGCTATAGTTACCTTCGTTTTAAGTACTTAGGTTTTAAACTTCCCGCATTCTTCTTCAATTTCTATAGCATCTGGGCTGCCTAATTTCTTTCTAATTTGACAGTTGGATTTGGAACAAACATTCATTTTTGGTACACTTTTCTTAAAAACTCAATTGAATTCAAAATAAATTTAAACGGCTGTAATATCATTAATAGAACAGAGTCATTGGAACAACTTAAGTCGGACGTCAACAGTGCGAACGATTAGTTCAAAGTAATTAAATTAACACTTAATGAAGCCAAGTCTGTAAAAATGGTTTTCTTTAAGAAGCAGGCTAAGGTGAAAGTATAAAACTTCTGCTTTAATTGAAATCTACGACTATGCATCATAGAAAAGATTTTTGCTAATCTCCTCCGATTTCTCTCCTGTATTTCCTACAACTTAATGTATAATCAGAAACAATTCCACAATACTATGCATGTTGTACAGATCACAATCTCATAAGGAACCGAACTTGGACATAATATATAATCCTAGAAATCCGGACAACATGCATAGTATTGTGGAATTGTTTCTGATTATACATTAAGTTGTAGGAAATACGGGAGAGAAATCGGAGGAGATTAGCAAAAATCTTTTCTATGATGCATAGTCGTAGATTTCAATTAAAGCAGAAGTTTTATAAACCATTTTATTAATATAGTGTTTTAAAAAATGAAATAAGCTAAAAAACTTTGAGATATACACAAATTATGCTATGTGAGAGAACTTCATGCATACGAACTACTTAAAAGTATAATAATAATGTAGCTCCAGAATCGTAGTTCTGAATCGCAGAGAATATATCGGTAGGCCTTAACAGTTCTGTCGAGGCAAGTCTATTTGTATTATCTTCCCACATTTCAGACTGTTGTTTTGTTGAGCAAAGCTCTTTTTTGAGACCGTTTGTTTGAGTCTAGAACTTTGACGTGGTACCACTATTCCAGCCATATTTGGTCAGGTTGTGGTAAACCTGAAGCTAGGGGTCAAGTGAGAGCTCGTCCTCACACACTATCATTGTCACGGCATGGGATCGAATACACGATCTGGCTATTTCAAAGGTGAATGCCTTACCACTATGCTAAGTGCCCCTTAAGTTGTAATAACAAAACTTAACTCGTAATCAGAAATTGTTGACATTAATTGTAAATAGATGACAAAATTGCTAGTCGCAAGGTGAAGCCCTGAATGTTCCGACTGCCTTTTGAGGTCTATGGAGCAGTAATAACCTGATGAATTCTACGGAGAAAAAAAATTAAATAAAAAGTTACTTCATGTAATAAAAATATAATGAATTTTTTGTGAAAATCATCCCCCGACACGCTATATAAAGTACAAAGTGATAAGTTTTCCGTCAAAAATGGCTAGCTAAAAAGTCGAAACTTGTCTGAAGAAAAAAATCACCTCGAGCATAAATATCTTGTCACTTTCGTTTCAAAAATCGGAACAATTAGGAAAAAGTTCCTCTTTTGTTTGATGAGACTTAATTAAGAGGTTCGAAGTTTTAAAAAGCTGCAGTTTGGTTAAAAACAACCTGAAGCCAGTTTTTGATATTTACTTAACTACTTTGTTCAACTAGATAGGAAAGCGTTCAAAACTTAGAAAAACTTGATGACACAGGTTTTAAAAATTATTCTAATCAGAATAAGGACATCTACCATTGCGAAGCTCAACTAATAAATTTTTTTTGAAAAAAATAAATAAAAAATGACAAAAAACAAGGTTAATACACAGAGGCTAAGCTGTTAATCCACCACTTGTGATACACAATAAAGCTCCAAAAATCAAAATAAATTGTGTCTTAAACTTGAAAAACTTGAACGAAACTTGTTGAAAAAATTGTAGGCTAAAAATTCAAAAAAAATTTAATGCAAACGTTAAGAAATCAATTACGTTTATAATAAAAGAAGGATTTGGGCTTCACTTTTATCCATTTCTTGCGCTTATGCATTCTAGGCTTATCCATGCTGTCTAATAACTAATAGATGCAAACGATAAGAAAACATTCCAATCTAAAAATTGAGATACAAAAAGCCCAAATTTACTCGAAAACTGTTCTATAAATTATGCTACCAAACAATCTGCATAACCATCACAAACAATCGGGACTGAGAGGCCCTATCCCTTTATTGCTATAGGCCACAAAAAACACGGAACACAAATTTTTCAAATCATGAAAGTAATAATTACAAACAATTGCCACAGAAAAAAACTTGCCGAAAACCAGAAAAAAAAACTCTGAAAACCTATAAAAAAACCCAATTATATCAAGAATTGTCAATTCTAAAGGTTTTTGCAACGGTAAAAAAGCTAGATTAAAACAAAAAAAACCTCCACCAAAGGAAATAAAAAAACGCCAACAAAGGAAATTCAAAAACTTCAGCCAGAAAGAAGCGCATTCCTGGATCTCGTGCAGAACTTGCCGCCACAATTCTTTGCAGACAAACAGTCGAGTCAACCCTGCAAAAAATTGGAAGTTTATCATTTTTTTGACACATTGAAACAATACGTTAAATCATCAACTTCAATTGATTTCAAATAAAATTGCTCGAACATAAAACACACAAAATAAAATTTTTTTTAGGTCGACTAAACTAATTTTCCGAGCTCTGACAAAGCATTAAAAAGACCGTTTTGGTCAAATTTGCAAAATTTTGAAAAAACGGGTCAAAAATGCATTTTTAGACACTTTTTGGTAAATTTTGACAAAAAAATCGCGCTTTTTCGGCGCGCGTTCCCCTCAAAATTAGTATAAAAAGGCGCCAAAGGCGCCTTTAGACATTTTTTAGGTTCCGTCACCAAATTTTTATATCTCAAAATAGTACAAAGGGGCGGCAGGGTGTCGAATCTTTGTAGGGCGAGGGGGCGGCGGACGCCCTAACCCTCCTAAATCCGCCCCTGCCAAAGAATGGTGTTAACGAAGAGTGGAGTCACAAGATAGTAAATAATTTGAATAACAAGAAATCAGGAAACAGACATTTACAGAAGATTCGAACTCATATGTACACAAAATTTACACAAGATAGACGAAATGAACTAAGTTTCATTTCTGAGCAACATGAATTTTAGATTTGAAGCATTTTGACTGAATCAAAAAATTGAAAATAAAAAAAATACTAATCGTGAACCATTCTGTTCACGACTAATTTTGTTCATATTTAAAAGTTATAAGGCTGCATTAATTAAATTGGATTCCTATGCTTGAAAATTTAACAATTTTATCCATATGCTTCAAATTCTTATCATTAAATTGTCATTCTCAGTCGAACATTCTGCTTTAGTTTATTTCACTCTCAGTTTATCTCTTCGATTCCTGGCCCGCTCTAGAATTTCCGATGCCATGGATCTGGATGAAGCCAGACTCGTTATGGAAACCTTGTCTAAGTCATCTTTTTCTTTTAATGAGTCAAGAGGCAGTCTCAGAGACTCCATGTCGTAGTTGTTTGAATGGTCTTTATGAGCCCTGAAAAGCCACACTCAGAGATAAATTCGATTAGTTTTAGGCAACTGAGAAAATACTTAACTTGTTGATACTTTTCATGCAAAATTACTTAAATAGTGCTTTTCACGATTTCAGGGAATTGTTGCGAAAAGCAGAAGTTTAATAGAATTTTAACAAATAATTCTACAGACATAGCCAACAGACAGTAGGAAAATGGTCAATGAGCGCAAGTAAACAGAAAAAAAGTTTACTTTTTTTTAAATTTCAACTTCAGAATTTCGAAGAAAAAAAGATATGGCCTTGAAGCTCTTTGAACTTCTAGAACAGTTTTTGATAGAGTTAACCCAATTTGAGAAAACTGGAAACAGGCGAAGGTGCAAACCCGCACCCTCAAAATTCGGAGTCTCACGCCCTGCCCTCCCGGCCACGAACGCTTAACAACCGGCAAACAGTAGTCGCAAATAAAGCCGCTACACATGCTAACAAATTGCCAATTGCTCTCACTAAAGTTGCTAGTGTAATCAATAGGTAAGTTTTTTTTTATTTCGCTAGGAATTCTGAAAACTAAATTCCACTAGAGGTCGATCAAATTTTTTGTGAAATTTACTTTTTCGCAATTCGATAGTGGAGCCTTCCTTTTAAACAGAGGCGAAGCTGCGCATCGCAAACAGTAGCGGGAACACGACATGAAGTAGCTCTATAAAGTGCAATAAAAAGCAGAGATAAGCCTCGAATAAGTAAAAGATCGGCTTCGTCTCAGATTTGATCTTCGACCAAGAGATTATTAGTCTTACACACTAACCACTCAAACACGGACCACAAACAAACACTAGCCACAAAAAAAGCAGAGAACAGATGCTATGAGATTTCCAATCCTGGAGATCGCAATTATAGCAAAAAATGCCACCAAATAAGTGAGCACTTTTATTTGCGGAAACTCCAACGCTCGCTAGTATAAAAAAAGGAAATGAGCTGAACTTGTGAAGAAATCCAAAGTCAAAACATGAATAAGTAAATTTGAGCTTGAGTAAACTTTAAAGTTTCCTGAAAAAAACAGATGAAAAAACATCACGACCTATATAAGAGTCTGAATTACGTTCGAGTCTTATAAAATCCGGATATTAGAAACTCAATATGTTAACTGGGTAACCAACTTCCTCATTCGGTTTTCGCCGTAACTGCGGTACTTCAGTCCCATTGCAGCCTCCTCCTCAAACCCTTCGTCGTTTCCCTGGTGTCTCTCAATCACAGCTGTAGAGAAGGGCATCGGACTAGGCGACTCAGAGGCAGATGTGTTCAGAACAATTTCATGCGTATCTCCAGTCGGACGCCCGAATGACCTCGCCGGTGTGAACGACTGAAAGTTCACAATGCCAACTGGTATTTATTAAATTAATTGATCATTATGCTTATGGCTTTATCTTGTCTGAAAAAAAACAAGTGCAGTGCTCAGAAAAATCCACAAACAAAATTTAAAGCAAGTACAATACTATTTGCAACTCAGAATGCTCACATATTGGGTATTTGCATGGTTTCTAGGAGACTTGACAATCCACGAGTCTACTTTGGCTTTAGGGTGCACCGGTTTGGCTGCATTCGTTTCCTTGGGCTTCCGATTCTCAGCTGAAAAAAGACAAGGGAACTATTTACCATCTCACAAAACATCTCATCTAAGCTATTAAAAAGTGTGAAGAAAAAAGGCATTGAATAATTTTCAACCAGTGGTTCCGAGAAAATATAATACTCTCGCAGACCTGTGGCTTAGGCCGGTGAAAGTTGCGAAGTTCCTTAGCCTGGAGACGGACGAGCCCAACCCGACCAACGTGGGCTAATGAAAAGAAAGAAAATGTAATGTGTGATGTGACTATAAAAAAAGACAATTTGACTAATTTGTTAGGGAATGAATCATAATAAATGAAATCTGACCTTGAACTTTGTGGTGGGGAAGCTGAGGAGCTCCAAAGTGATCCTCGGATGACTTGATTTCGGGCCGCGCACTGTTGGGTCTGGCTTTCACTCTGGGCTTCGGACACTTATTGTCGTCTGCTCTCCCAGATTCTGAATGACACAAATTGGTTGTTGAATAATCTTTAACCTTATCGAAATGAGGACCACCTCAAAAACTTCCATTTTTTCAGACCTCAGAGCTCACAGCCAAATAGATCAGATAAAGCTGACAGATATATGCAATACAAAAAGACGTATACAATCATACCAAAGACGTTAATCTGAAAACATACTTTTAATCATAAATGTTCCTTAATTGCCACCTTAGTAAAACACCAATTTTGAAACGATCCAACTAATGTACCTGGTTTGATCACAGTTGTTCTGTCCAAATGGTGTCTGCTCTTCGGGAAGTACGATTTGCTCTTGCTCGCCGTCTTGCCCATCTCGGGAGTGGGCACTCGTCCTAGCTCCAGGGTGTTACGTAATCCAAATCTAGGTCTAGGAGTTCCCTCGGAGCTACGACTACTGCCAGGAATCAAGTCGTACTCTCGTTCTGCCTTCATCGTGGAAGCACTAGCTATAACTTTTGTTTTGTTAGAAGACCTATAATATAAATATATACCACAAATATATATGACATATTAATTATACAATCGTGAAAAAAAAAATTCAGGAGCAAGTAGACACCAGTTTAAAATCATCACAACCAAAACCGAATTTGAGTAAAAACTCAGATTTACTTCTGCTTTCAATTCCCTATTTCGCTGTCGATAGATTGGGAACAACAGGTAATATTGCGAAGAAAATTTTAAACACGGGGAAGCGAAGGGGAGCTTCACAATTTTTGCGATACAGAACAAACAGAGCGTTGCGAGTTAGCTGATACAAAATCAGACGGAAGCCAGTAAAAAAAATTTTACATCTACAAACATTTCACATGTTTGTTTCAAAGGAAGTTCAATTCAGGAAAACATGACAAAAATAACAATACTGCAACCGAGAGAAACTAATAATTACAGTTGTTTGAATCAGACGGAAGGTCACAGTTCAGCTTTGGAAACTAAATCGTCAAAAAAGCAAACAAACGAAAAGCAAAACTCCGACATTTCACGTTTTACCAGGAAAAAAAATAAAACCAAGGACAACAGCCGGTTCCTGTGCAAGTATCACAGAATGTTCCGAACAGTCTTAAAAAACAAAAACAAAAAAAAGTGTTTTCTTTTTCAAATTAGTGCCGTTTTTTTTCTGCGCGATGTGAGAAAGATATAGATCTGAACGATTAATAGAAATTAGACATATTAGATAGTCATAGTAAACTCGGCCAATTGGAAACAGTTTTTGAAAAAAGAATTACAGAAAAGCTCAACTTAAGCATAATTAAGCATGCACGCTCAAAATTAGAGTAAAAACTAAAAACTTCAAAATTTTCATGTGATATATCACTCGGCCCATTCTGTACGTGAAAAGAAAAAAAAACAAGGATAGCTGGTTGCTGTGCAAGTAGCACAGAAGGTTCATATATTAACTACAAATACAAGTTCTTCAAATTAGTTTCGTGTATTTTTTGTACGTAGTATGATGATGAAACTATACACACGCTTAAAAAGTTAGCAAATTAGGCATAATCAACAACAGTTGTCTGCAAAAAAAGAATTAAAAAAAAATGAAAAAAAAATCAAAACTTTTTCTAGTTTTTTTGAACAATATTTTGCAAAAACAATTTAAAAATGTCTCTTGCCAGAAATGAGCCAAATATAGCTTTCAAACAAGTTTCCATTTCGAAAAACAAGTTTTTGATGCCTAAATGACCAATTTAACAAGTTATCATCACTTTATTCGGTCGAAACTAGAAAAACCAAAAATTCAAACCGGCTTTTCTCGACACTGGCTATTTATTTGGAAAATTCATTGAAGTCGTTCCAGTCACGACTGCAAGGGCTTTAACATGATATACACAGAGGCGAAGCTGTGCTTCGCAAACACTTGCGAGAACACGACCAAAAAGCAGCTCTATCAAGTTAAATAAGAAAAATTAGAAATCAATCTCGAATTAGCAAAATTCGGCTACGTGTAGGATTCGAACCTACGACCTACTGCAATCAAGAGATTTTGAGTCTCACGCAATATCTCCTCAGCCACTCAAGCTTAACAACCGAAAAACACTAGTCACGAACAAAGCAGCTGCATAAGCTAACAAATTGCCAACGAGATTTAGCACCAAATACAAATAGACTCAATTTTGCAATTAATAATATGGAACTTAACAAACTGAGGGCATGGTTACATGTCAGTATTTAGACAGCCGCGTATTCATACTGGTCAGTATTTAGACAAATACTGTTTCAACCAATCAGAATCGACACAAAGAAGAAATTAATAAATATTTATTATTTATTTTGGATTATTTATGTTTTTTCTCGATTCTGATTGGTTCATACAGTATTTCTCTAAATACTGACCAGTATGAATACGCGGCTGTCTAAATACTGGCTGCACTCCTGAGGGCATCTACACTAACGCTGCATGTAACAAATTGCAAAGCATTAAGCCACATTATGTATAAATTATGCATTTCAAAAGATTATTGAGTTAGAAAATCTTTGAAATCGAGCTTTTATTATTGTGATGTTGTTTGAAACAAATAACTTTTTTCGGTTCATTTGATGAACTAAAAATGCATCAACTGCGTTAACTTATTACTATTCGAATGTCAAGGCACACGCTATCAAAAATCTGTAAAGGTGCCCCACTATAAAAGTGCCGCACCAATATTTGCGAATTAGGTTGAAAAAAGAAGGTTCGGACTAACACACTAGCTTCGCAAGTGTAATCACTCAACCCATTCCGATAATTATTTGTGGAGCCTGATTTTGCATGGAAAACAAAAAGAAAAAACTAAAACACACCCGAATACAAAGTTCCTCCACAATTTTCAATTGGTCGGAACAACAAGCTCCGGTCAGGACTTGAACCAAGGACCTTAGGATCCCAAGGTACGCGCATTATCACTTCACCAAGTGGGAAGGGCCTGGCAGAAAATGAGGTTTCACAATAAAGCGAGGTCAATTTCTCACAATTTGTAAGAAAATTTTTGTAATTAATAATGCATGGAGCACAACTTCAAGTACACTTGATCTCGCAAATGAAAATAAACACAGGATATTGCTTACACGTCTAAGAACACACTACTTCGATACAAAGTCAGAACCAATTCTGAGTATTCATTATTTCAATAGGACATTTTCCGCCAATTAGTTTCCTAAAATCGTTTATACTCACCGTTCAATATACTTCTTCTGGTCAAAGTTTGTTTCTTTTCCTTTCTCTACATCGGCTTCGTCCTCGGACACATCTTCTGAGTGAACAAGTTCGTCATTCATGTTTAGTTCATTTCTCGGATTCGCTTCTTCACTCTCTTGATATTCATCGCAGCTCACTTTGTTCACACGCTGTTTCCCCGCTTCGGACGGAATGACTCCTTTCTTGGCGGGATCAAAATCCCATCGCTGCAATTTGCTGGGCAGACCTGCTGGCCGATCGGGTTTACTGTAGCTACTGAAAAATTAAAATCAGATCAATGCTCACTAATGATTCAAAAAACAACTACCGCATTTTTAAAATCATGATGATAAATGTTCGGAGACAATCTTTTAGTCTGCATTCCTTAGAATTAGTCTGAAAAAAGGATTTTATATTTTAATGCACGTTTTCATTTTAGGAGCAGCAGCTTTGACACTTCTCGCTAAATCCAAAGCATTAGCAAGCTCCCCATTCTCCGCCATGTCTTCCGCAGAAGCAGGACTTCCAGGGTCGTCCCACTTGTCGGCATTCTGGGCTATGAGCTGTCCCAGGTGGTCTCTGGATATGTGCGTGCCCAGATGTCTTGCTCCGTAGTAGGCAGCCTTTTGTCTCAAGTCTCCAACTTCCTTGACCAGGGGAGTCTCCTTGACTTTAGCATCTGATGCCTGGAAAATACAAGGTTTCAGTTTCAAAAGCAGTAGTATTGTAATCCGCCGTGTGTCCTAAGGGGGGGGGGGTCATTCCTAAGTGGGGGGGGGGGGGGGGGGGGGTGGTCAAAAAGGTCCTAAAACCTAAGTGAGGGGTCCTAAATTTTTAGGACTCCACCTATAGGTTTCAGAATCAAAATGACCCGACCCAAAGTAGAAAAACCCCCACCCTTAGGGACACCCGAAGAAAAAAATACTTTGGTTTTAGGACAGAAAAATACTTTGGTGTGAAATTTATTCTCGCGCGGTGGTTAAAATTAATCGCTTCTAAACTTTCCCGCCATTAATTTAATAAGTATGGTCATATCCGGCTGCAGTTTGGCCGCTTATTTATATCTATCAGCTAATCCTTTTCGTTCATATAAATATGAGTTTACATAAAGTACAATTAAAGTTTCCTTTTTGTTTTACAATCTTTTGGTAATTATTGTTCATTTATTTCCTGTTATTTTCTCCAACTTTATTTTCCAACTTATTTTCTTTCACTTTGTAACTTCGTTACTTTTCCGACTTATTATTAACTTAGTATCTAATCTTTTGCTCCTGTTTCAAGGGTAAGTTGTAATTACCACTCTCTTTTGTGCTGGTCTGTTTAAAGTAAAACAAGGTTTGCTGAATGTTTTATATTTACAAATGCACAGCTGTAATTCCAAGCAACAATACAATTTAGCCGACATTTTAAGGAGCTGGGTTTTGATTAATCAATTATTATCAAGTTTTCTCCTTTTTTTCTGACTTTTTTTGAACTAACAGACGCTTCTGTTAGAATGAACGGGTTTTTAATAGGCGGAGGGTCTCGCGAACTGCTAGCCGCGCTTTCTTCTTTGAGCTCTTCTTCCGTGTAGCTTTCTTGAAGAAAGCCCCAATCAGGGCCCTGAAATTCCTGCACGGGCGATTGCTCGCTTCTGCTGTTATCGCTATCGCTGTTACCGCTATGGTTGCTATAGGTCGGACTATCTGTTAACTGAGAGTTTGCCCACTCGCTCTCTTCTGCAATGGCGTCGAAGAACACATTATCTTCGGTAGACTTATGCCCAAAGGGTAATGTGGCTATTCCGTCGAATAGCAAGAACCGCTTGCTATCGAAGGGTGAAAGTGCAAGTCGGTTTTGTGCAATAGTTATATTGGTATGGGCTTTAGATTTAATAGAGTAGTTATATATGCGAAGGGTTTTGCCACTCAATAACGTATCCTTGAACCTCTGGTGGGTAAGTTGTTTATGAGTGTTGCACCAATCCCTTAGCACTTCTTTTCTCACTGGAGTCTAAATAAAGAACAAATAAATAGAGATTAAACCATAAACTGATTTCAGCGTCAAAAACCAATAGCCCTGGTAAATTTGAACTGAAAACTCAGAATTTATTGGCGCGAAAAATAACAAAGACGCGTATATGTTAAGTAGTGTTTTGAAAACGGCTTTAAAAGATGAATGGTTCTTCATTTTAAGTTTCAAAATGAAGAATCAGAGCCTTTCACCGGTGACGAAACTTATTTCAGCTAATAATTTTAAACAAAATTTAATGCGTTCGGTTATCCCTCCAAACCTTGATGGGTGTTCGGTAGAGCTATCAATGGTTCAAATTAGATTGTTGTTTCGGTAGAGCTCATTGAAAACTTAAAAAAACCTGAGGAGAACCGGGGAGGTGCTTTTTTCAATACTAACCTGCATATTCCAGCGAGTAAAGCTTAGGTTTTAAGGCTATGAATTCTTCAAAGATTTTTCCGGCCGCTTCGTCTTTGAATTTTAGTACAACCTTTTTATTCACATTGCTGAATAAAAAGTGATCGTTGAGGTAGTTGGAAAAATCAAAGATATCGTTCATTTTTTGCAGATCGGCATATACGTCTTCGGTTTTTATCGCATAAAAAAAGGAATCCGTATCGCTGTATAACAGTTCCAAGTTCATGTTAGCTTTCATCTGCCGGTAGTGGAAATAAAACATGAATCGTTTCGATAGGTCCAAAATACTGGCACCTATTATCATGGGTTTATCCCACAAAATACTTGTTACGGCAGAACAAACTGTAGCAACTTCCTCGTTGATTATCTGGAAGCTTTTCATCGTGCTCAAAGCTGTTTTTTGAAGCAATTCTCTTTCGTTTCTAATAATTTCTAGTTTTTGCGTCCTAGTTTTGATTCCTGACATTCGCGCTGACATTCTCAATCGAGTGTTCAAATCCACAAAGGGCTCCATCCATCTACCTTGACAAAACTTTAAGACCTTAATCAATTTGGTAGTTTTTAAGCCTAGTTCTATGTAGAGTTTTCATGTAAGTTAGTGCAGAACGTACCCTTCCTTTGGATCTAATGTTTGAACCAGTTTTGGAGTTTTGGTAGCGACGTGACCCCCATCTCCCCTAATATCTGTATTTGCTCGTTACTTAGTTTATCCATGCCGATAACTTCAAGTGAGGGGGCTAGCGCGTACTCTGCAAAGTAATTTTGAAGTTCTTCAGGTATACTGAGATCGACTTCAAGAATATATCCCCATTCAGAGTTATCTTCTGTTTTCAAAATATCTTCGAGGCTTTCCTCAACAATTGAGAAATCATTCATGGGAAGTTTCATGATACCTCCGTATAAGTTATTTGTATCTATATTCAAAAGATAGCTAGAGGGCTCTTCGGGGTTGTAGTTCTCGAGGTATTTGTTGTTGGCTTATATTTGTTGTTGTATATATTGATGGCATCCCTCCCCGAATCATTTTTTGCACCATGTCCAAATGCTCCCTTTCCGTAAGTAACTTGAGGTCTGCATTGCAGACTTTTAAGAATACATCACCCGAGAGGTTACTGGCCGTGAAGTAGCATGCACAGTCCAGTCCGTAGGTTTCGTAACAAACTTCTCGAAAGGCTTCGAACACTGATAACGAGCAGTAGTACGTCCAATGCTAGGTACACATCGTGGTACTCGCCTAGCGAAGCGCATAAACTTTAACGGCATGGTTGTACTGATTTTTTGAAAGACTTACTTCCCCTCCTTGTAAAGTGTTGCTCCACAATCTTTGAGGTGGTAGTTGAGTTTCACGAAACTTTGCAAAACTATCGAAGTAACAATACGGATAGAAACCTTTTTGTTTGAGCAGGTTTATTTGTTTTGCTGAGTGACCCAGTTCTGCAAAGTAATTTTCCAATAGGAAAAAATTTTCTTCCAGCAAATTTTCGAGAAATTTTGAAAGGGGGACAGCATGAATTTATAGGAGTCTATGAATCGTAGATTTTCATACACTTTTTTGTTTTTCCGTTTTTATCTGTGTACGATTTAATGTAGACCGACATTGTGAGCGATCTGTATTTATCTTCGGTAGAGGTGATCACCGAGTAAGTGTTTTCAGGGTTACTTTTGGAGAGGGCTTTTATAATGAAGTGAAGGCCATAGTTCGATAAGTTATGGGCTATTACAGGAATATAGTTAGCCGTTTATCGATTGATGTTGCATTCGTTATGCGCCCACCCCAAGAACTTGTTGGTAGAGTGACAGTGATCAAGTACAACCTGGTCATTGTTACCAAATTCCTTTTCACATACCCAACAAGTGTACGCTTCTTCACGCGTGTAACTTGCTTCACCATTGAACGCATAATGCTTTCGTTTTTCCAGATAAATTTGTTTCGCCAACGAGTCGAGCGAGGCGATCAATTCCTTCAATGCATTGTCTCCTCTCTTCAGTTCAAATTTTAAAACTTTGCGCATTCTAAATTCAAAAACGGCTAGAGCGTAACCGCATGTTTGATGAATCTCTTTTGTTTGGGTGCTAGATTTTTTAGGGTCGGGTTGGGGGCCGTACACGGGCAGCAGTAGCGATTCGAGGTCAAAGTAAAAAACTCTTGGTACATACCAACGAGCAGTTAAATGTTTGAAACGATGAGTGTCCTTTCCCGGTTTCGGCATATTGATTACCATTCCTTCATCTTGATAGCACATTCCCTGGTGATGTTGAAGGGTATCGATGGATGAACATGTGTGGAAGCATTTGCGACAAATTTAGTTTCGGTCTGGTGTAGCTTTCCACGCACATGTTCCACCACCCTCATCAAGTCTATGATCAGTACATAGTGATGAGTTTGACCGTTGCTGAGGAGTAGTAGATCTACACATAAATCACTTGAGTATTTGCTGGACAACCTCAGAGGCAGCAATTCACCTCCTTTGTATCTAATGAAAACAAACTTTTTGCTTTTTTGGGTTTCTCCTGAATGAACATTAAGTGTTTTCCGTTAATTACACAAGTAATGATTTGATAAAAAAACTCAATGCGTACCGGAATACGCTGACTTGACAGTTGTTTAGTCGTTCAAATCTGCCAATATCATGCAATCCCAAAGGCATCTCGTACCATCCTTCAATTTTCACAACTTGGTGCTGGGATAGCTTATAGTTCTTAAATGGTTTCGATGCTGCCAGCGTTCTGCAGCAGGGTAAAGGGTAGCCGTTGTCTCGGAATTTTGATCATGGTACGCAGCCACGAAACAATATAGAAAACATTTTTGATCATTCCTTGTTTTTCTATTGGTGAAGCTTTGTTTCACGGGTTTCAATGAATCGAGTAGGTGGATGTAAGAGCCAGCTCGGATAGGGGAAAATGCGGCAAAACTTATTGGCGTCTTTTCGATGCGCTCCACAAATCATCCGCTACCGTGTGAAGAAAAAGTATTGATGGCATTGACCATGTGCTCAATCATTTCCAAATAGGTCTCTTTGTCGATTCCATTGAAGAAGACATTGATCATCTTAGAGTTCAGATACAACAGTGTCTTCTCGCTACGTACTTCCCCATCGCCAGATTCGTTTATATCGTTCACGAACTTTATCATAGTAACGTCCACATGCAGTTGAATTTTACAGGGTCCCTCCTCTACTGTTTCTTCTATCAACACATCAATCTCGTCTTTGTGTCGCATCGTTAAGTTCATCAGCTCCCCTTCCTCTTCTCCAACGCTCAGCTCGTATCGCCGCAA